GAAGCAGGAAACAACTTTTAGTTGGACTCAAGTCAGAATGAAAATGCGAAGTGAAAAAAAAGAACAACAACAACAACAACAAATCTAAGGAGAAAATCAACAAAATGAAATTGATTTTTCTGTCGTTTGGCAAGCGTGTGAAATGTATTGGATGAGAACTGCAAGCTAATTCCCAACTTTTGCTCCAATTGATATTCTGAGAAATGCCCCGCAACTCTTTCGCTGGCAGAGATATGTGCGCATCGAATTTATTGTTTCAATTATGTTTTCAATTTGCGCCGACAAACAAAAGCCGCGATATGCAAAAAAAAAAATAAAAAATAAAAATAATAACAGCAACAACCAAAAAGGCTCTCAGCTATAAATAAAAGTAAAATGGGGAAAACAACAGTGAATTTTGTATTTCTGTTTGTTTGTTGTCAGGTTCATGCGCAGCATTCAATATAGAGAGACTCGTCCTGTGCCCTATATCCTTGCAGCACACCCCCACCCCCACCCAGCCCAATCCCAACCCCAATCCAGATCCTGTCCTCACGCAAGTTATTGAAAGTAAACATGAGAAAATATATTGTATGTACTGGCAGGAAACACAAAAAATTGTATTCCAAGCTCAGCGCGTAATGCATGCGAAATTGTCTCAAATAATATTTAAAGAAAATTAAATTGAATTTGCGGCAGTACGAGGGCTGACAGCAACAAGAATTTATAGTCAATTGAGTTTATAAATACCCTATACAATCGAGGTTTGTATATTGGCATATGTCCACCCTTTTGGCTGAAACTGGAGGTGGGAGCAAGGGAGATCTAAGCCTCAGTTTCAGTGTATATCTGAGTTGAGCCTGAGCTACATTAGAAATAATAAGGGAGCTCAATACCGAAATATTGAATACTTAAGAAGGGCAGTATCAAAGGTATCCTTATAAAAGGGTAATACAAATAATTTTGTGAAAAAAGCTTACTCAGGATCACCTTTAAACACTTCATTAGACTTCTTTATAATGAATACATAGCTTAATTTGGAATCTAATTCGAATTTATAAATAGATAATGATAAGTCTTTTTTAACAGGTGACCGCAAACGATGAGTTTTTCTCTCCAATGCTATCCAATGTTATTAAAGAGATCACATTTCCCTCTAACATGCATTATTGCTATATGATGCTTGATGGATTTTTCAAACAGTAATTCGAATATACCCCACAACATATACATATATGTTACAGGGTATAATAACAACAGTGTAACAACATCGCAAACGCAATGATAATATAAAAATAATCAAAAATCGATTCAAAGTGCGGCTTTTGTTTTTGTACAATATGCCAAAAAAAAGAAAGAAACGAATCTTGTTGTTTCTGTTGCTGTTGTTGTCAAAATGCAATCAAAAGATATGGCAATTTGTTGCTGTTGTTGTTGCTGCTTGATAGGCACTTTGTGAGTAAACTTTTACTTCATCTTCATCTTCATCCTCCTTTTGCATCTTATTTTTTTTAACTTGTCTTCTTTTATTTTGGGCGGGTTCTAACAATTTTTTGGAAATTGAAATTTCCATTTTGATTTGACTGACTGGGCGCTTATCTGATTTATCAGAGTTACATCAGAGTGTATCTGTATGTGTGTGTGTCTGTGTGTTCGTGTGGGGAGTTAAGCTGGGTATTTAGTTTTGGTTGCAATTAGGCGCCCGCAATGTAACCTGTAACCTGTAACCTGTAACCTGCTGACCCTCTAAGCTAACAGCTAGAACACCCATCACTTATGTCTCTGTGTGTATATGTTTATATATGTATATTAAGCTATGTGCAACCCCTTCGCTGTTTAGCTGACAAACGCTTCGTTTCGTTTCTGGTGCTGGGGTGCGAGTTTTGTTGCCGCATTGCTAGAGACCGAAGGGTCGCCTCGCTACGAATCGGTCAAGCTGAAAAATACGCTGCAATTGCACCTTGCAAACGCACACACACACACATGAGCACACCGACAGGCATACTCATACAAGGAGAAAAACCAACAAGTACAAATGATGTAATTAAGCATGTTCGACCTGGGAGATGCCCAGCAATATTTAAGAAAGCTGAATTGGTCACGGAAAATGGAATAAGAAACTAGTGAAAGTCAAAGTGAAATTGATGGATATGTTTCGAAGCCCGATAAGATATATGTACGTAAACTTAATGAACAGCATTGGAATAAATTTTAAACTTTTCTATGTGGAGCTTCTTCTATAAAGACATTTATACTAAAAAGATATATTATTATTATAAATATATCTTTAAAATAAAATTCTTTTGACAGCAATATGGCTCTAGTTTTAACTTAAATATGCCGGTGAACATATCATAGGTCAGTCAAACAATTTATTATAATCATTATTATTATAGAGCTTCCAAATAAATAACAAATAGTAAGAAACTTGTTGACTTTCTTTAAAAATAAAAAAATAAGTTTACTTTAAAAACATTAAGGTAAGGTTTCATGACTTTAGTTGCTTAATTATCTGCATCAAATAATTATATTGAATAGAAATCGAATCGAATCTAGTCAATCCTTGATCTTTGGGAGTAGTAGTCCATGGACGAACGAGAATATATATTTTTATTGGGGTCCCGGACATTCTGGAATCTTCTATTGCCTCTTCGAGCTTCTTCTAGAATTAATTTTTTTATGGCAAATCTTTTAACGTATTTAATTTGCTGCATCTTTGGCGTCTTTCTTTTATTGTATCAACGAGCTCTTTCTAGATGCATTTGCTTCAGAACTGCTCACTATTATACACTCACTGAATATAGCTATAGCTGTCCATAACTGCTCTAGATGGTTGTTTTAACAGGGTATTTGAGCCAGTTGCCCTGACCATTTCGGCTATGCATCGCTGATATTTAAATTGAGCCAACGGGCAGTAAAATGCGCCGTTTGCAGGGCGAAATGCACTTCAAAAATAGAAATGCAAAAAAAGGGTTAAAAGTGCCAATGGGTGTATATGTGTGTGTGTTTATGTATCCTGTATCCTTGAAATGCAACGCATGGTCGCAAGCGTAAAAATATTTTCGCTCCTTTTTTTCGTGCCAGTCGCTGCGTCTCACTCTCTCTCTATCGCTGTCTCTGTCGCTTCCTCTATTGCTTCGTTGCCTTGGCAACCTTGTTTTCCTTTTTTATACAGTATAGTTTATATATCCAGCTTTATGCTGTTTGCTCTTGTTGTTGTTTATTAATAAACAATAACAAGAATGCTTAATTGCATATCTATTTACTACCAGCTGCTTGTTAACCTCATTTGCAGCCTTTCCACCTTACCCCTGGGTGTTCGTTACCGCTATTCGTGTCAGGAACTCCGCCTTGCTGTTGCTCAAACCCGAAGCGACTCCTCTAATTTTTTTGTCTCTGGCTGTTTCCTTGCAGTTTGTCTCATTAAAATGAGCAAATGCGAAAATCATTTGCGCTGCAATTTTTTACAGCAAGTGCAAATGCAGTGGCGCATTCTCAGCTCGTTAGTGTGCAAGAGTGTGTGGCAATGCGGCACTTTTGTCCTTTAACTAGTAGCAAGGATATGGCACAGCGCCTTGGCCACTAAGCTTTGCCTTGCCGTTTGCCATGCAAATGCCACGTTAAGTATACGCAGCGTTGTCGCTGTCGCAAATTATGTAACATTCATTTGCATTTAGTCCTCTTTTATTTATTGTTTTTTACTTTTAATCAATGCTGATGTTCTCGTTGCTTTGTTGTTGTAGTTCAGTTGTGTGTTGTGGCTGCTGTTGTCGCATTCAATGTGCGCTTAACAAGGATGTGAAAATTTATTTATTAAAATTTAACAACGCATTATAATCAGCGCAGATTTATATAAATGTGACTGTGTGCGTGTTTACAGACACAACAACTACTTATGTACACAGTTTCGACTAGTGGCATGAATGCCGCTCATCAACAACCACCAGCAGCAACAGCTACAGCCATAGCAGCAGCAACCCATCAAAAACCGTCGTCCACACATGCAGCCGCCGAGGCAGCAAATCGTTTTCATGAATACAACAACAACAACAACTACAAAAGCTACCCAAAAAGCATTCAATTGCACAGACAGACAACACACACTCAGGCACACACATACACACATACACACAGACACACACACATATACAACATAGAACTGCACCAACACAAATAAAAACGGTTTATTATTTAATTTATGCGCCTGATAAAAAAAAAACTGCTGGTAAAAAAAGAAAAAAAAAGAATTAAGCGAGACCATCACATGGACAGACGAGAGATCCATCAGATACATAGATACATTCGCCGCCAACAGCTACATAGATACAGTCGCTGCAGAACAATGAAGAGCTCAAAAGAGTTGTTTGCATTATATGCTACATCTATAGGGGCTCAGAATATGAGCAAACCTCAGACAAAATGCTCAAGGTCAAATACAGTATAGTAGAAATAATGCAAAAAATAACAAACCGGCGTGTCCGACTGCATAATGCCGGTTAATGGGTAAAAAGCAAGAATACAGATATTTTCGAATATCCCTCGAGTTAGAAAATATTTTTAATAATATATATATATATATATATATATATATATATATATATATA